AGTAGCTGCCATACTGTTAACTGAGCACATTTTTCCAGAGATTCCAGGATGGTTTGTGACACTGTCATTTTTTTTTTATTCCAGTAGTTTATAAATCTGAATTTGCCTGAAAATCTCCCCTCTATTAAAAATTTCTCATGCTTCAAAAATTATTCCTAGAAATTTGAGGGCCAGAGAGAGAGTACAGGGATTTTAGGCAGTTGCCTTGCATACTGCTGACCCTAATTCAATCCCTAGCACTACATATGGTACCCTGGCCAGGTCTGGGTCATAAACTAGGTGTGGTCCATGAACCGAGTGTATGTGTATGTATATAATTATATATAGAGAGAATTAGGAAAGAGAGAGAGGGAGAGAGAAGGAGGGAGGGGGAGAGAGAGAGAGAGAGAGAGAGAGAGAGAGAGAGAGAGAGAGAGAACAGACTTTAAATCAGACTTTTCGACAAGATATTTTTTCTAGTCCACAAATCTAATGAATTAAAAAAAAGTTTCAAGAGTCATCTCTGGTACTGTGAAGTGAGCTTTTTAAAACGCCCTCCCCACCTGGCCACTAGTTTGCCATTAAACATGAACATCGTTGCTACAATTTCCCCCCTTTGACCTGGTTCCAGAGGTTTGTAAACCTGTGCAATTAAATTATTTATTTTATTACTGAACAGAGAGTATGTCCCAGAGAGAAATCGTAAGTAAAACAAATATGGTGCTCTGATGACAAAGTAATAACTAGAATTAATACATTGTGGCTTTCTTTTCAGAAAGTCCAGTGCACCTGGAGGTTCAAACAACTTATATTTTAATCTGCATTTTAATGTTAAAAGTTCTAAAACAGCAACTCTAACAAATATGAATAAGTTGAATGTAATTATTTTTGAAACTATAAATTTATTACCAGCATTAAAATACAAATTGTATAACTCCTGTTCACAAACAGTTGTTAACAAGTGAAAAATAAATGAGATCGTACCTCAGCAATTTTTATTTTATTTTATTTTGGCTTTTTTTTGGGGGGGTCACACCTGGCGCCGCATAGGGATTACTCCTGGTTCTGCACTCAGGAATTACTCCTGGTGGTGCTCAGGGAACCATATGGGATGCTGGTAATTGAATCCGGGTCAGCCGTGTGCAAGGCAAACACCCTACCCGCTATGCTATTGCTCCAGCCCCTCAGCAATTTTTATTTTAGTGATAAAAAGCTCTTTTCAATCAAATCACAGTCTTTCTTTGGAGTTTTTTCTTGGCTTGACTGATCCCTCCTCACAAAAAAAGTTATTGTTCATTATTAGAGCCACAAATGCACAGTAAGCAGAGAAGACTGGAAAATTCTAATGCCCATTTATTAAATATGAAAAGGTGTTATTGAAAATATGTGACATCGTGGAAAAGAATGTTGATTTTTCATCAGAGTCATCTTCACAGAAGCATTCATTTGCTTGCAAAGGCCATAATCTATTCCTGTGGGAAAATAAAACAAAGTTGATACCAGGACACTGAAGTAACAGGGAAGGGAATAAAAGATTTAGAAATTTCAAAGCGACTGAAGCATGGTCAGAAGAATAGTTTAAAGGGCTGAAGAACATGTTTTACACGTGAGGCTCAGGTTCAATCCCAGAAGACCACTATGTACAGAACACCAAGCCTAGAGCCACAGGGTGTGGCCCCCAAACAAAAGAAGTGTTGAAGTGTCAATTTGCTATTTAAAACCTTTATTTATAAAGTCTTTGTTTAGACACTGGATACGAACCATTAAGTCTATCAAGGACATTTTTGCTCTTAACCACTAGAAAATGCAATGGCCCCTGCCAGGTGCATTCCCACAGCCTTGAGCAAGTAAACAGAAGGTACAGAAGTGAAACAGAGTGGTTAACACAACCTTTTTTTTTTTTAATTTTTATTAGTGAAACACCATGAGGTACAGTTGTAGACATACAAATTTTTGTGCTTGGGTTTCAGTTATACCAGTTATACAATGATCAAGTACCCATCCCTCCACCAGTGCCCATTCTCCACCACCACTGACCTCAGTATCCGTCCCACCCCCCCATCCCTCCCATCCCACCCTGCCTCTGTGGCAGGGCATTCCCTTTTGTTCTCTCTCTCCTTTCGGGTGCTATGGTTTGCAAAAGAGGCACTGAGTGGCAATCATGTTCGGTCTATAGTCTACTTTCAGCATGCATCTCCTACCTGGGAGGATCCTCCCAACACCCTTTATTGGGTGCTCCCTTCTCTATCTGAGCTGTCTTTTCCCCTAGCGTGTGTGGCTGGCCTCCAAGCCATGGAGTAAACCTCCTAGTACTTATCTCGGCTATTCTTGGGTGTTAGTCTCCTATTTTGTTACTTTATGTTCCCCAGATGAATCCAATCTTTCTATGTCTGTCCCTCTCTTTCTCATTTAGCTTAGTGTGATACTTTCCATGTAGTACCACTTGTATAACTTGTATGTAAATTTCATGACTTCATCTTTTCTAACAGCTACGTAGTATTCCGTTGTGTAGATGCACCAAAGTTTCTTTAACCAGTCATCTGTTCTCGGCACTCAGGTTTTTTCCAGATTCTAGCTATTGTAAACAGTGCTGCAATTAACAAACAAGTGCAGATGTCACTTTGACTATACTTTTTTGCCTCTCTGGGATATATTCCCAGGAGTGGTATTGCTGGGTCAAATGGGAGCTTAATTTCTAATTTTTTGAGAATCGTCCATACTGTTTCCCAAAAGGGCTGAACCATTTGGCATTCCCATCAGCAATGAAGGAGGGTCCCTTTCTCACCACATATGCGCCAACACCAGTTGCTTTTGGGTTAACACAATTTTTTACATTTACTTGAATCATCCTTGTTTTCTGTGGTCAGATATCTGGGCGTTTATGTCTATGCCCTTGGGGGGTCTGGCATGTTTTCTTACTGGGTTGTAAACTTATGACCCTAAGGCACAAAATGGAGTCTGGTTTTCCAAAATGGAGTGCTAGTGGTTCTTTCACTGAGAAATGGTTGATTTTGGGGCCACACCTAGTGGTGCTCTTCTGCCCTGCACTCAGGAGCGCCAGTGATCCAAAGTGTGTGTGTGTGTGTAAGAGGGTGGTATCTGGCTCTGGTCTGGGGACTGGTCCTGGCAGTGCTTGGAGTACCATCTGTGGTACTGGGGTTAAACTGGTTAATGCCTGCACATCTGGCCCCTAAATTATTTTTAAGTAAAGTCCAGGGAGTTGCTCCCAACATTGATTGGCCCAGCTGTGAGGCCTGAAATTCAGAGTTTAGGGTGGGTATGTAATGCTGGGGATTAACTCAGGACCTCACTCACATATGTGAGAAATTAGCTCCACACTTTGAGCTATAAACCTGCCTATACCTGCCTATCTACATTTTCTAGTGTTAGGGCACAACTCTGGATCTCCGACCGCAAACAAGGACCATGCAGGAATGCAATCAGCAAGCAGGTAGTTTATTGAGCTGGCTAGCGAGGGTCAAGCCATCAGGCAAGACCCCGAGCTTCTTCAAAGGAGATCTTATATAGGCCTTCACTGGCCGTTATAGCAGAGCCCACACATTTCATGGCCAATAGATTCATAACAACATATACTTTCTTAACCAATCCAATTAAAAGTACATCACTCCTTAGCCTATAGATTCAAAGATCAGCATTTACGTACATGGGCATTGTTGCTAGCGGGTATCTCATAACTCAAACATTTGGTTATCTTCTATATCTACCCAGTTCCCTGTGATTTACATCTCAGGACACCTGCATTCCGGTGGAGGGGATGAGGGAAGAATTACTAGCAGAGGGGCAGATCAGGAAGTCAATAGTGGAGGCAGGATTTACATCTCAATTAAGAAGAGTCAACTGTGAAGGCAGGATTTACAGCTCAGGGCTCTACTAGGGAGGGGGCAGGTAAGGAAGAGTTACTAATTAGCAGAGTTTAGCTCTGGAATTTCCCTCGGGGTCCCAGGGGACCTTACACTGGTGGTTCTAGCGGAGCTAGGAGTAAGCCCCTCAAATGCACAGCTGACAGTGCTCAAGCACCCAACAATAAAAACCGACAATGACAAGTCCACCACACAAGCTGTCTCCCATTGTTTTGTCCATTGTTTTCTTTTCCTGTGTGTTTCCCATGACCTGAGGTAGCTGCTTTAATTCGCACCATCACCACCGCTGTGGCCTTAGCCAGATAGATTTGGGGAAGCGCTGCCACCGCTTCACAGGTCAGCAGCTTTATTACCGGACTCCACCCAGGATCCCACAGGGATGCGATTAGCTCTGGTCAGTGAATACATCAGGAACTTCCCACACATCTGCCACCTGTCCCTGACAAGGTGGTTCTGGGGCCACAGCGATAGTTCAACGGGGAGAGCCTTTGCCATGCACGCGGCCAACCAAGTTCAGTCCTTGGCATCCCATAGGGTCCCCCGAGCGCTATAGGTGTGATCTCTGAGCACAGAGCTAGAAGTTCCAAGCACAGCAGGGTGTGCCCCCCTCCCGCCCCCAGAAAAAAGAAAGATGATTCTCTGGACAACATTTAATGTAATGAATAACGTGCAACCAAGGCGTTTGGAGTAAGGTCGCAGACTCTGGTCAAAGGCGTCAGAGGCGGGAGGGCGGCGGCTTGACAGACCCCCCTGTGGCTCCTGTGTCGTCCACTGCCACTGCCACTCGCCCCGCCTCGCCGTGCTCCTCGCACGCTCGGCACCGGGGCCGGGTCCTCCTCGGTCCCGGGCGTGCCGGGCCTACTTAGCCTACTGCTCCGCGGGAACTAGCGTCCCTGCAAGGGCGGCCTGGAGGGGAGAGAGACTGCAGGACCCCGACGGCCCCGCAGGCAGCGCGAAGCCCCCTCCCGTCTGCCCTGCTACAGAGCTCGGAGCGCACGGGAGATGAGAGCCAGGTGCGGTCGCAGCCGGCAACCGAGACGCAATCCTCCCGCGCTCCTAGAGGGGACCCGGAAGCGCCGCGCGGTCCCGGAAGACGGGGCGCTGACACACTTCCGGCCTTTGTGACTCATTGTGTGTGTGTCGCGGCGTCTCAGGGCCCCGGTCGTGTTGCAGCGCCCTTCGCCGGCCCGAGCCCCGGAGCCAGCTCCCTTTTCTCGCCCGGCGCCCCCAGGCTGCTCCCGGGGCTCACGGTGAGACTTGGGGCCGGCCTCTGGGGGGGGGCGGGGGAGCCGCCAGGGTGTGCGCGGCGCGGGGGGAGGGTCGCCCGTGCCCTAGCCGAGAGGACTGTCCCCCCGCCGGGGTGCAGGCGGGGCAGGTCCGGGGGGTGTCGCACCCCGGGAGGAGCCCCCGCGCCCGCCGCCGTTCGCGCGGGTCCCGGCGCGAGGCTCGTTTTGGGGGTCCCCGAGGTGGGAGTGGCGGCGATCCCCGGGCCGAGCGCGCTCCCGGCGGCCCTGCGTTGGTCGGGGGTCGCCCCCCGGTTTCAGGGCGCGCGGCGGGGGGCGCGCCGGCGGGCGCCGGGGAACCCCGAGGCTTTCCTCGGAATGACCTTGGACACGGCACGACCCTGCGACAGCCCTCAGGCTCTGTCATCAATAAAATGAATGAGCTTTTCCCGAAAGGCTCACCCCAACCTTGAGGTGGATTGATTGGGTCACTTGTCCTGGGGGGTGGGGAGGACTGAGCCACGGCTTTCGCCTGACACTGTGTCCCGCGCCCCGCCTCCCGGCCCACAATAACACACATTCTTTACAGAGTGGCTGTTCGTGGCCCCAGACCAAAGAAAGCATTTATTGTACAGGCCAGGCCAGGCGGGTTGGAGGCGGCCGAGAAATACGTGTTGGATTGAACTGTGGAGAATTCATTGTGACCAGGTCCACAAAGCACTATTTCTCTGTATGCCAGTCAGATGGGGGACGAGCTTTGCCCCAGGGGGGATCCGGAAGCAGAGTGCTCAAGCCTGTGTCCTCTGAATTGCGTGAACAGGGCCCCAGGTTCATAGTTCCAGGCAGTTTCCACCCACCCCAGAATACAAACAGTGAAGTTCACTACTGAATACCGTGGTCTCTGTGGATTATCTGCTGGAGCTAAGCATGGATTTTTTTAAAAATTTTTTCTGTTATGTCAAAACAGTAGTGCCCGGTTTGATCTGAGGATGGCTTTCTGCAGGCTTTCTGCTGACTTTCTAGGGCACCAGCATTCTTTTTTGGGGAGCCAGCCACCCTGACTTTTGAAACTTGCTCAGAAAAGGGGGCAGAGGTGTCTTGATTTCATCTTCAAGACTGCGCCCTGAAAAAAAATAGAGCCCTGATTAGAAAGTCACTGAACTGTAACTCCAAGCCCTTTTTGTAGGGGTCTGTCCCAGGTGAGAACCAATTGCAGGGGTGATGTTATCTAAACAGATCAGGTGTCCATATTTTTTCAGCTCAGAGGGACTCTGGAGGTAGTTTTCTCCCTCCCACCAGCCCCCCACTTAGCAGCTTAGGATGCAGAGTGCCAGAAAGGTTAAATAACGGCTGGAGATCTCCTAGCTCTGAGGTAGAGTTCTTATCTCTGATCCTAGTTTGATCCCGCCAGGACAAAAACCAAACCAAACAACCGCAGGGCTGTGTGACTCACTGGGCAGCAGGAATTCTGCTCTCCTCCCTGCCCTGCTTTCACTTTTCAGAGTCAGAGAAGAGGCAACACAACTTGGGTGACAATTAAGCAGTAACAGTTGCACCTTCAAAGTTGGGGCTAACCACTGGAAAATAGCAGTTACATCTTTTGTCTTTGTTTGGGGAAGCATCTTTGGTACCAACTACAGACCCATTTGGAGTTTTTTTGTTTTTAATCCATGTTGGCTCATAGAATCCTTATAACCCAGACAATTAGGGCCATTTATCTTCATTATACAGATGAAGATATGCACGGATCATTAACTATTAAAATAGCAGCTCACCTCTGATACCAGACAAATCCCTCCAAAGCTCATTTGGGGGCATCATTGATACTACAGGAGTGGCAGGAAGGAGTCACATCTAAATTCATGCTAGTATTTTTCCTTATTATTTTGGGGGGGTGAGGGTGGGGGTGTCACACCCTGCCGTGCTCTGGGCTTCCTCCTTACTCTGCTCAGGGATCACTCATGGCAGGGTGCCGAGGATTAAATCTGGGTTGGAAAGGCAAACATCCTGCCCGCCTACTGTCCTATCCTACCCTCATTCTTGTTTTGTTTGAAGTATTTTTTTTTTTAAATGCTTACAAGGAGTCCTAGAAAGCTGGCTTAGATACAGAGCATGCCTTTGCAAACTTCTAATTGGCTGGGAAGCCTTGAAAACCGAGAGCTGGAGAGATAGTCCAATGGGTAGGGAGTTTGCCTTGCATGTAGCGAACTCTGGTTCAATCCTTGGCATCCCTGTATTCCCCTGAGCCCCTCCAGAAGTAAACCCTGAGCATTGCCCAAGGGTGTGGGCCCCCAAATAAACTAATCAAATAAAATCAGATTTCTGTGGCCAGGCCAGTTGTCCCCTTAGCTTTGCTTAGTTCTAGTCAGTTCCCTTGACCGAGGGGTAGCTCTACCTCAGTAGCCTTTGGCTGCTTCTCCCTCACCTCTCCTTAGCCATGCATCCTGCTCACAGGAAACGAGGTGGCCCCGAGCTGGGAGCCACCAGACCTGGACCTTCCTTCAGACAGGACGTGTGTTCCAGGAGCCCTTCCTCGCCCCACACCCCAGAATGGGACTGAGGTGGTTGAAGGCCTGGAACCTAGGAGTTAGGCCTGATGTCAAACCTGGCCTCTGCCATGTAGCATGATCAGCTTCCGTTTTTTTTTTTTTTTTCCAGTTACCATCAAGTTGAGATGCTAAATATGTCTGTCTCCCCAGACAGTGGTGTGAAAGGCTTGAGAGTGATAGAACGTCTGCTCCGTGGGCAGCACCCAGTAAGTGCTGTTGAATCCACTGGAAGCTTCTTGACCGAACTGTGGCTCCCAGGGGTTTTCTCCTAGTCCTGGAGGATAAACAGGATTCCAAGAAGCAGAGCAACCAGGGAAGGGGCCCCTGGGCAGTGAGAATGGTATGAGGGAAGGCGAGTGTCACCACGGACGAGGCCTGTCCACCAGCACCACGTGGCCTCAGTTTCGCTGGAGCGGGGAGAGAAACCAGATGTGAGGTCAGAGAGAACCCAGGCTGGTCCTGGAGTGTATGAACTGGCTGTGCTGGTAAGACTCATCTGAGTCCATGGTGGGGACGTGCAGGCTGGAGGGAAGTGACAAAAAACAAAAACTAAACCGGGAAAAACTGGAAACCAGAAAATGAGCCTGCTGGGGCCAGAGCGATAGGACAGCGAGGAGGGCATCTGCCGACTTGATCCTGCCTCCTATAGTCTCCCCACTCCGGAATCATTCCTGAGTGCAGAGCCAGAAGCAACCCCTGAACTTCACCGGGTGTGACCCAGAAAGCCGAAAAAAGAGAAGCAGTCTCCTCGGTGTATGGGGGCGAGTCACCACAGGCAGAATAACATGTGCCGGGTGAGTGGGGCCACCTGGCACGAGCCATTCTGCCCCTCTGCCAGCCCTTCTGGGAGATAAGGACAAAGGCCAGAGCCCCGTCCCTGAGGGGCCAGAGTTACATTGGGAGGTGGTACAGGGCCGAGGCCTGGGGGGCCAAGGATCCAAGAATCCATGCCAGAAAGCAGGGCTGTGGGGGGCCCAGCTGGGGTGCAGAGGTGGGTGGTCACTTGCTCATACCCGCGACATGAGGCTTCCACAGGACAAGTGACAAGGTGATCTGTTCGCAGCCAAGGACAGAACGTATTCCCTGAACTTGGGAGCACAAACACCAGATGGGCTGAAGGAATGGGAGCCAGAAGTGGAGGGAAGATGGGGACCGCTCCTGTCTGACCCTGGGATGCAGTGAGCACAAGGGGAGGGGACTCAAGGGACCAGGAGCAGACCTGGTGCGACTTGGAGCTGAAGCTGTTGGCCCCTTGGAAGGGACACCGGGGGACATGGCTCCGTCCCATCTGTGTGGATCTGAAGCTGAGCAGCACGGAACGGAGGCTGCCAAGGCCGCCGTCTGAGGTCACTTGTCCTGTCATGGCTGGACTGTTGCTTGTGACCTTTTCCTAGGGACGCTGCCTCAGGGCCCCTCCCGCGCATGGTCTGCTATGAGCCGCCACCCCTGGGAGTCCAGCTCCTCGCCCTCCCCTCTGCCTTGTGGGAACGTGGAAACGTTTAGGAAACAGACTGGTACAGCTGGTGGGACTTTCAGGGTGCCAGGCAGGGGTCTGAGGGGTCCCTGGGAAAGCTCAGAGAGGGTTGTCCGGACGTAACTGACTGCAGCTTTGCCACTTACTCTCACATGGCCAGCGTCACCAGCGTGCCTGCCCATTGTGACTTCTCTGTACAAATCTGGACGCCGCTTGAGCCGCCGCAGGGTAACTGAGGCCACCAGTGGGGGAGCAGGAGCCCTGACTTCCCCCAGGATATGGACCCTCCCTGTGTAGCATGTGGCCGTTCAGCCTTTGCACCAGGTTATGGTGTGCCTATTAATACCTGGTGGGTGTCTGCAGTTTGGGGACCTCACCCAGTGCGACTTGGGGCCACTCCTGGCTCTGCTGCTGGGGGCACCTCCTTCTTGACTTTGCTTGGGTCACCGTGTCATGCTGGGGATCAGACCTGAGCCTCCTGCCTGCTTTTGCAAAGTCCCTCCCCTGCCCTCAATTTGTACCTTTTTTTCCCCCTCTTAATTCTTCCTCCTTTCTTCCTTGAGGTCCCACGGTCTCTTAATAGTGATGATTTTATGCATGTCGGTCCAGACCACACTGTCCCAAACACCCTCCCCATACCTGCCCCGTAAAGATTCTTGATTGTCAGTTTATTTGTTTTGGCTTTTTGGGTCACCCCCCAGCGATGCTCAGGGGTTACTCCTGGCTCTGCACCTGGGCATTATTTCTGGTGGTGCTTGAGGGACCATATGGGATGCTGGGCATCGAACCTGGAACAGCTGTGTGCCAGACCATGCCCTTCCCGCCATCCTCTCTCTCCATCCCTGCAAGTTCCGTTCTTAGCGACCAGCTTTCCAGTTCTGTCACCTTTGGCCCATTGTCACTCCCTTTACTATATATCTGTATTTTATTTTTTAAAGATGTTGATTCCCAGGGATCTTATTTTCTTAATTCAGAAAAATTCTTTTTCATTTCTTTCTGTTTCATTTTCAAGTGTTTCAGTTCTGTTTTTTTTTTTTTTTTTGTGATAAGTTTCCACATTCCAATTGTGGCCTGAGAGGAAAGTTGTTGCTTTCCTTTCTTTTTTCTTTTTAGGTCACACCCAGCGATGTTCAGGGGTTACTCCTGGCTCTACACTCAGGAATTACTCCTGGTGGTGCTTGGGGGACCCTATGGGATGCTGGGGATCGAACACAGGTTGGCTGCGTGCAAGGCAAATGCCCTACCCACTGTACTATCTCTCCGGCCCCCAGTTTGCTCTTTCCTGGATTCTATGGAGCTACATTCTGTGACCCAACATGGATTCTGGAGCAGAATGTCCCTTGGAGTGGCTGGTGAGGGGCCCTGCTAATCCTAGCTCTTCCCGTTTCTTCTTCGAACCCAGTGCATCCTCGTCGCGTACTCACTCAGGGATCCCTCCTTGCTGAGTTTTGCTGAACTTGACCTGGCAGGCAGAGGAATGCTAAAGCCTCTCACTGCTCCCATTTTCCTTGAAACACCCTCGGAAAGAGTTCCCTGCCTGCACTGGCTCCTCCTGAGCTTGGCTGGCCAGATCTTTCAACCCATAAAAATAAAGAATGTCGCCAGAGCGATAGTCCAGTGACTCCGGCACGTGTCGTGCCTGTGACCAGCCCAAGGTCTGATCCCCGGCACTCCATATGGCCCCCTGAGCACCACCAGGAGTGATTCTTGAGTGCAGAGCCTGTGTGACCCCCAAAACGAAGGAAAATTCTTTAAAAAAGTAAGGAAGAGCAGAGCTTGGCCAAAGCCAGGGGGTGCTGAAGACTCAGCATGGAGGATGACCCCAACTGGTACCCAACACGGGGCAGCGCTGGCCCATCAGATGGTGCCGACAGCTGTGGTCACCTGCTGGTCAATGCGGGAGGATAAGGATGGTGGACACTACTGCCTGAAGCCCATGCTGAGCTAGCGCCAGCTCTCACTGGCTCAGGTCACGGGAGGGCATGGCCCATGATCAGGACCCAGGTGCAAGTTCTGTTTCCAGACCTGAGTCTGGGTGACCCTGGCTCAGTGGGCTTCGCTTCTCCTCTCCATTGGCTCTGGGGCCTGATACCTGGGGTGTGAGGGGGAAGTCTGTGCCCACACTCTCCAATGGCCCTGGAGGCACTGCTCATCTTCTGTTCCTAGTCCTCATCCAGCAGCGCTCCAGGCTGGCTGGGGAGCGCAGGGGTCAGCCATGTGTGCGGCCAGCACCCTCCCTGCTGTCCTGCCACTCCCGCCCCCTCACTGTTTCTTTTAATGACCTCAGGAAACCGCTGGCAAGAGATCAGAGACCACCTCCTAGGACAGAAAGGAGTGCCCTGCCCACACCCCGAATGATGACTGCTGAGTCCAGAGAGGCCGCCGGTCTGTCCCCCCAGGCCTCCCAAGAGAAGGATGGCATCGTGATCGTGAAGGTGGAAGAGGAAGACGAGGAGGATCACATGTGGGGGCAGGAGTCCAGCCTGCAGGACGCGCCACCCCCAGACCCTGAGATCTTCCGCCAGCGCTTCCGGCACTTCTGCTACCAGAACACATTTGGGCCTCGCGAGGCTCTGAGCCGGCTGAAGGAGCTGTGCCACCAGTGGTTGCGGCCCGAGATTCACACCAAGGAGCAGATCCTGGAGCTACTGGTGCTGGAGCAATTCCTGAGCATCCTGCCCCGGGAGCTGCAGGCCTGGCTGCAGGAATACCGGCCCGACAGCGGCGAGGAGGCTGTGACACTTCTGGAGGATCTGGAGCTTGATTTGTCGGGCCAGCAGGTAGGAAGGGAGGCGGAGTGGGGAGGAAGCGATCTAGAGCTGCTAGCTCGAGCCAGAGGGTAACCGAGGATAAAGCGCTTGCCTTACACATGACTGTCCCAGGTTGGGCCCCCAGTATCCCATACGGCTCCCCGAGTACCGCCAGGTGTGATTCCTGAGTGTAGAGCCAGGAGTAACCCCTGGGCATTGCCAGGTATGGGTCCAAAGCTTTTTTTTTTTAATTGAAAAAATAAAGCTGGCATTTTAGTATTAGGAGGTGATGATAAGAGCTAGGGCTGGGGTAGGAGATCCAGTTCTTTTCTGTTTCCTTTTAAGCCACACCCAGCTGTACTTAGGGTTGACTCCTGGCTCTGTGCTCAGGGATTAGTCCTGGCAGGACTGGGGGGACCACATGGGATGCTGGGAATCGAACCCAGGTTGGCCGTGTGCAAGGCAAGCAAGTGCCCTAGCAGCTGTGCTGTTACGCATATCCCAGGAGACAGGGTTCTGTCCCCACAGAGCAGGGTCCCCTTAAAAAGCATTCTGGGGCCAGAGTTCAAGGGAAGGTGCTTGCCTGGGAGGCAGCTGGAACCCAGTTTAATACCCAGTAACACGTTTGGTCCCTCAAGTGCAAAGCTGAGAGTGATCCCTGATTACAGAACTGGGAGTAAGCACTGAGCACATCTCAGTGTAGATCCAAACTCCTTTATTTCCACCTTCCTCCCCCGAAAAATATTCTCTCCCCACCCCACTCCCCACACACGCATACCCTCCTCCATGTATCTTCTGCTGTATTTAGGGTCTCTTCATTTGAACTTCTTTTTAGAAGTGACTTGGGCCGGGACAATAGTGCAGTGCGTGGGGCCTTGGCCTTGCATGCAGCTGACCTGGGTTCGATCCCCAGCATCCCATATGGTTCCCTGAGCACCGCCAGGAGTGAGCCCTGAGTGCAGAACCAGGAGTAAGCCCTCAGCGCAGCCAGTTGTGGCCCCCGAACCCCTAGGTAAATAAATAATCAAAAACTGACTTCTACGCAGGGTGTGGGTGAGCAGCAGAGACCCATTCTCACATGTGTGAGGCTTGAGGCACTGTTTAAAAAAAAAAAACCTATCACCCACAAGCCCACCTCTTTGTCCTCAGGTCCCGGGTCAAGTTCATGGACCCGAGATGCTGGCCAGGGGCATGGTGCCTCTGGACCCCATGCAGGAGCCCTCAACCTTCGACCTTCACCAGGAGGCCGCACAGTCTCATTTCAAGCATTCGTCTCGGAAGCCCCGCCTCGTCCAGTCCCGGGGTAAGACGCGGGTCCCCTCTGCATGGCTGAGGGCCTGCTGGCCGGTAGCTCACTGTTTCCATCCTTGTCTAGCAGCGTCTTATTCTTAGGAAACATTCAGGGAACTCCATCGTCAGAATTGTGCATGGTTAGCGTCCGTGACACGACTTTCTTTCTTGACTTGTTTGCGGTTCCGATGTCGGGCACCAACTTCTCCGACACCAGCCGCAAGTACCGGAAGGCGGAAGCCACTGTCCCCTCTGTCTCTTGCCTTGCTTGTGCCCGCCTGCTTCATGGAGCTGTATGTGGACCAGTCGCTGGCTCGCAGCCCAGAAAGGCTGAGGGCACTGCTCCAGCAGACTCTCGTGTTGGTTTGGGGGCCGCACCCAGCAGTGCTCGGGGCTGACTCCTGGCAGGCTCCAGGGGACCATATGGAATGCCAGGAATTGAACCCGGTCATCCGCGTTCACGGCAAGTGCCCTACCCTCGGCCCCTGCAGCCGGTTTTTGCACATGAAAATGCTGAGGAACAGTGATGTTTTTGCTCCTAGAGTTTTGAGACACGTGGCACAAAGGATCATAACCCCTTTTATAAAATTCATTTTATTTAGGGGCCAGAGAGATAGTACAACAGGTCGGGCGCTGGCCTTGCATGCAGCTGACCCAGATTTGATCGCCAGCATCGTCTATGCTCCCTGTGTGCTGCTGGGAGCGACCCTTGAGCCCAGAGCACGGAGTAAGCCCTAAAGCACGGCCAGGTATAACCAAAACAGTAACAAAGCACAGCTTTTGAAGAAGTGTTAGTTAAAGCACTGTTTTTTTTTTGGTCACACCCAGCAATGCACAAGGGTTACTCCTTTGCACTCAGGAGTTACTCCTGGCTGTGCTCAGGGGGCCATATGGGATGCTGGGAATTGAAACCGGGTCGACCGCGTGTAAGGCACACGCCCTACCCACTGTACTATTGCTCCAGCCCCATAAAAGCACATTTTCTTGTTCTGTTTTGGGGCCCCACCAGTGACCTTACTCCTGGCTCTGCACTCAGGGATCACTCCCGGAGGTTCCCAGGGAACCAAAAGGGGTGCCGGGGCTTGAACCTGGGTCACCACTTCCAGGGCAGGTGCCCTCCGCACTAGGCCCACTCCAGCCCTGGCATATGTCTTTGCCGGTGTTGTTGGCTTGTGGTTCCATCCAGGGTTGGAACGTTAGAACTGCAGAAGCTGACGGTGCTCCGGACTTGCTCCTAGCTCTGGGCTCATGGCTCAGGCCTGGCAGGTGTGACCCAAAGACCAAGAAAAAAAAAATTTTTCAACACACTGAAACCCAGAGCTGGCTGGTGCAGGAAGGAGTGCGGGGCCGCGCCGGGGCCTGGGAGCGGAGCGGCCCTCACAGCTCCTTTCTCCTCCCTCAGCCCTCACTGTGCCCCACGCTCCCGCCTGCCGTCAGGAAGGGAGCCCTGGGCCCCAGGCAGTGGCATCCACGCTGTTCACGGCAGACTCCCAGGTGAGCCGCGAGCCCCCCCGCCTCCCCAGCCCCCATGGGGGCTTTTCCTGGTGTTCTCTTAGCCGCCGTTCTGTCCCCTCTCTCTCAGACATGCCAGTGTCCCGTCCCATCCCCAGAGCCTGCCGGGGTCACCTTGTCTTCTCTGGCCTCTGGTCGCCAGGCTCTTACCTCCGTCCTAGGTTTGGGCTGGGACGGTCCCCAAGTTTGAGGCACCCTGAGTGAGGCCTCCTGTGCTTTCAGGCAATGGTGAAGATCGAGGACATGGCCGTGTCCCTCATCCTGGAGGAGTGGGGCTGCCAGAGCCTGGCCCGCAGGACCGTCGGCCGGGACCAGCAGGACACTTACGGGAGTGCGTTTTCCCAGGGTACAGCTGCCTCGGGCTCTTGGCCCCCACCCCGGGGTCTTGAGCCTCAGCTTTTGAGTTATGGAGTCACAGGTGTTTCCGGATGCACATGACAAGAACAGGGACACCAGCCGCCCTTTCTGCAGACCTGACATGTTTGTGTCCTAACCCACAGAGCTTGCACACACCTCTGACTCTGGGGGGAGTTTTCTTCTCCCCCCTTCTCAGTAGATTTTACCTTTTGCAACCAGAAATCCTCGCGTCTCTTCCCTCACCCTGTTATCTGGCGGCCTCTGCCCGCCCCCCCCCCCTCGCCCCCAGGCTCTGGTGTCCTGTGGGGGCATGTCTGTTACTGGGGGCCAGGGAGGACCTGTCAGTCTGATTTTTACCTGGCTGCCCTGACACCATGCCGTGAAGTTCCGTGAACTTGGAGCTGTGCCTCGGTGGGGAGCAGGATTGTTTCCAAAGCTGCTGGTGTTGCATTCCAAAAGAGCATGGGACAAGGCACAAGGTCGCCCGCCCGCCCTCTCTCCTTTCTCTCTTTTGCTTTTGGGGCCACACCTGGCAGTGGCCAAGGCTTACTCCTGGCTGTGCACTCAGGATCACTCCTGGCAGGTCCAAGATCACATGGGGTACTGGGGATCGAACCCAGGTCAGTGGTGTGCAAGGCAGACGCCCTCCCCACTGTACTCCCTCTCCAACCCCAAATCGTGCTTTCCAGTGCCTGATTCTTCCTACTTGGCCCTTCCTTTCATCCCAGGTTCTGTGGCCTCTCGCTAACCTGCCCGCTCAGTGCTGACTTTCTCCCTGGTGTCCTGCATCCTTTTTCTTAGTTTCCTCCTAATTTTACCTCATTCATCATGTGAGATGATCTTGTAGGCCCATAATCAAGGGAAGACAGTGTCTTTCAATTATGCTGTCAGAATCAAAGGCACTGGGGCCGGAGCAGTGGTACAGTGGTGACACACTGCCTGGAATGCAGCTGACCCTGGTCTGACCTCTAACATCCCATCTGACCCCCTCCCCCCCCCCCCCCCCCCCCCCCGTGCATCATGGGAGGGATTCCTGAGCTCAGAGCCAGGAGTAACCCCTGAGCATTGCCAAATATGGCCCAGAAAGGGGGGAAAAAAAGAAAAAAAAATGAAAAAGGCACTATTTGCATTTTCTCTGTGTCATCTCAGGCCGTGAGAGCAGGAGCGAGACCGAGGAGTCCCCCTCCAAAGCAGAAATCGCCAAAGACACCACGACACGTGGGGAGACCACCCGGAGGTTCCAGAAAGAGTTCGGAGAGAAACGTGAGCTGCCGGGCCAGGGAGAAGGACCCCAGAGAAACCCCGAGGACAAAACTGGGCGAGACAAGAGAGATTCAGGGCCGGCTGCCGGCAGGGAGAGAAAGCCCGGCCTGGGCGAGCGGGGTCCACGGGAGAAAGGGAAGGGCCTGGGGAGAAGCTTCAGCCTGAGCGCCGGCTTAAGCACCTCCGAGGACACACCCGCTGGGGTCAAGTCGCACCGCTGCGACGAGTGCGGGAAATGCTTCACCCGGAGCTCCAGCCTGATCCGCCACAAGATCATCCACACGGGCGAGAAGCCGTACGCGTGCGGCGAATGTGGCAAGGCCTTCAGCCTGAACTCCAACCTGGTGCTGCACCAGCGCATCCACACAGGCGAGAAGCCCCACGAGTGCCACGAGTGCGGCAAGGCCTTCAGCCACAGCTCCAACCTCATCCTGCACCAGCGCATCCACTCGGGCGAGAAGCCCTACGAGTGCGGCGAGTGCGGCAAGGCCTTCAGCCAGAGCTCTGACCTCACCAAGCACCAGCGTATCCACACGGGCGAGAAGCCCTATGAGTGTGGCGAGTGCGGCAAGGCCTTCAACCGCAACTCCTACCTCATCCTGCACCGGCGCATCCACACGCGCGAGAAGCCCTACAAGTGCACCAAGTGCGGCAAGGCCTTCACCCGCAGCTCCACGCTCACGCTGCACCACCGCATCCACACACGCGAGCGGGCCGCCGAGTACGGCCCCTCCTCGCTGGACGCCTTCGGCGCCTTCCTGAAAGGCTGCGTGTAGGGCCGGAGCGGCGCGTGCACCGGCAGGTTCTCTTCCCCTTCCCTACTTTGGTTTCTTCTGAGATTTCTTCCGGAGCTGTGTGTGTGTGTGTGTGTCTCGGTCCCCCGCCCCTGCCCCACCCCCAGAAGGAGGGAGAAAAAGAAAATGACAAAAACACCATGGCCTCACCCGATGAGACAAGAACAGTCACAGTGAAGGATCCTGGCCGTGGGGGCTCAGGCCTTGCTAGCCTGCCGCCAGCCCTGCAGAGAGAAGGCACTTCCAGGTCCCTCTGCCGGTTGCTTCCGCTCGTCATGCAAGAGCACACAAACACACACACACACACACACAGGAAATGGCCCCCTTGTCAGCCACAAGGATGCCCAAGGGGCGCTACTGGACCCTGTGCAGCCACGGGCAGTCACAGGAAGATTTAGCTCGGGGCCGGGAAGGTTGCTGTGCTTGAGAAGCTGCTGGCTGCAAACCGGCCGGTCCATGGCCAACATCTTGCTGGACCTTTGTTCCCATAACCAGAGGGACAGTGAGAGGCGACATCGTTGCTTGCTACTCAAACTAGTCACGTAGATGCAACGTCCCCTAGATGCTTGTGGAAGCCCGCTAAAGCCCTTGATGTGTTGGGCCAGGCCGGTAGGCATCAAACCAAAGATTTCTGTCTCTCCCCAAAAGAGAAGGGGATGTGCGGTTCCCAAGGACCGCGGCCCATGTGAAAGGGCCCAGTCGCCTCACCGAAGCTCCACCCAGTGGCAGCAGTGAACTGAAGGCCTCGGCTCTGGTCTCAAGAGCCCCTGAAGTACTACCGCACACCTAAATGTGTTTCTCCCTGTATCAGCACTTGACACTAGACCACCTTTCGATCCTCCGCTGCGTGACGAGCTCAGGTTTCCATTGCACTCGATGCCCAACGGTGCTGGAAAGTTGCTTTGACCCCCAACGGTGCTGGTGCTTGTTTTGCTGGACTTCTGGCTTGGGGAACTTTCCCTTGGTGAAGAAGCCCTGTGCACCCAAGACTCTGGAATGTGACTCCCTGGCCCGCTTCGAAGAGCCCTTCAGAGCCTGAGGCATGCTAAGAAAACTCCAGGCTCTGATGTGAGTTCTGTGCAAAACACAGGCTGGGGTTAGCCACCTGCAGTGACTTTCTTAACCCAGGTCAGTGTATGCAGGCACCGGAACGTCAGAAATTCCTCCACTATCAGCATCTTAAGGGGAAACGGGCATGTGGATGCTGAGGCTTTTCCAACATGGTTCAGTGACAGAGATCTGATTCCTGGGCACTTGGGGCAGCGTTGGTGGCTTTCGACAATATCACCCAGGATGGGATTCCAGCGAACAGAGGCTGCTTTTCAGAAAAGGAGAAAGGCTTTTGTCTATCCGCTGCAGGAACTTGGCAGGAACGTTTGCAGTCACAACATGCCGTTGCTTCAAGAAACCCTCCCACATGGCGGGCATGAGGCAATTCTGTTCCCCATCTTTGCTGGAGGGTACAGTTGATGGCCTGGAGGTAACTCTGGAGACCTTGTAGGAGCACAGACAGGAAATCCAAGTGTCTCGCTATTGGCAGCATCAGGAATGAGGGGGAGTACTGCTCAGGTGAGCATGGCAGCCCACAGGAGCTCAGGACATACACAAGAATACCCCTGAAGTCTGTCCACATGCCTGAAGAATCCCATCTGCAGTTTGAGACAGAACTACAACCCAGTGCTTCACCAGCTATTCACTCACCAACGATTCCAGGAACCGGTGTGTTTATGGGAATGGGAAAGTTGGGGAGGTGGGCGCAGTCCCTTGACATCTCCACAGCTCATCATGGTTGCCCTGGAGAACTCCAGGAAGCCGCGGCCACCTTAGAGCGAGTGAAGGTAGAAGAGGTGAGTCCGGTGCCTGGGCATTGACAACTGTCATGCTTTGGAATCAAGACCTTTGCTGCTCAGGAAGCGTCTCAGCCCCGCTCAGGTGTCGGGCTCAGCACTGGCGTTCATAATGAGGGAGAGATCTCCAGGCGCATCCTCCGCTAGCCCTGGCTTTAGCCTGTGCCGACAATCTCGTCATCAAGGTTAATAAAGCTGGTGCCAGAGAACATGGAACTGTCAGGCAGGGCACCCCTTGACTTCTGGCCTTCAGCCGGCATGTTCCCGGGAGAGAAGTTCTCTGACATTAACTGGCTTTGGCACTTAGTGAAACCAGAGGTTTATATTCACTTCTTCAGTGCAGGTGAAACTGCACTCTGGCTTACAATAGCCAAAGAGCTAAAGCCAGGAGCCAGAGAGATGGTGCAGTGGGGAGGGAGCTGGTCTTGCACGTGACTGACCTGAGTACGATCCCTGGCATCCCATCTGGTCTGCTGCAAGCACTGCCAGGAGTAATTCCTGGGTGCAGAGCCAAGAGTTACCCCTGAGCATCACCAAAACCAGAGAGGGAAAAAAAGATCTGAACCGAGCTAATTCTGAAAAGTTCTCCACAGACTGGGGTCTGGTAACAGCTGAAATGCTCCGTAGCTAGTCATTGGCAAGCTGGTTGACCTAAGGGATGTTTTGAAGGCTTTTTTTTTTTAAATCAACATTCACCTTGCCAAGGAAGATAAATTAATTTCTTTACGTTCGAGGTACCTGTTCCAAGAATGGAGGTGCCTGAGGCACATTGGTAAGTTAAGGCACTTAGTGTTTCACTGACGACGGAAAAATGAAACCGCCCTGCTGTCCGCAAAGGCTGGCATATTCGATGTGCGGGACAGGGCGCCTGCGACCTCAAGAGAATCCTTTCCAGGAAAGCACCTCTTATCTGCGATCAGTCTGGCCAAGCCGTCATCGAGTCTGCCCTTGGCCTCAGAGCCTGCCGAGTAAGTAGACTTGGCTGAAGTTCTCTGTGAGGAAACCTGTCTCAAGAGCACTCATTGCTTTGGACAGAAGATGAGTTCCTGTCAAGTGATGCCTTGCAGGTCCCCGGGCGTCGGCACAGACTTCTCTCCAGAGGAAGGAGAGGGAAAGCTAACCCAGTGTCCGGCTGGTCAGTGGCTTCCGTGCACGGCCCAGACTGGCCCCTACTGCTGTGTGGCAGTCAAGTCTGGCCCCATGTTCTGTCCCCCAAGTCCTTGGGACACTCCAGTCTCCATAAACGGAGTGTCGCTGTGGTTTCTTTCCAGGCCGCCTCAGAGACGCAGAGTTTGGGAACGACGTCGAAGCTGGTGTGATGATGAGCCCAAAGGTCAGTTCACAGGACTGAGGAGGACAGAAACAAAACCACATGGGGGGGAGTGGGAAGCTTCGTATTTTTTGCGCTTATCACATCGAGAGAAAACATTAGGGTGTGCATGAGGGGAGGCCGGTGAATAGTCTGACGGCCTCTGCAGGGTCTGGAGAATTCAGAGCTAGGAACTGAAGCTCCCTAAGGCAGAGCGGACGGACAGGCTCTTGGTGCCATGGAGGGATGGAAGCGGGTTTTGTTCATGAACGAAGGCAGTTCAGAGGGTCACAGGGAAAGCCTGGTACCTTCAGTGGTGAAACCACTGGATTGTGTTCACTTCTCCAGTGCAGGTGTAACTACACTCTGGCTCATGACAGCTGAAGAGCTAAAGCCAGGGTTCTTTAGCTCTTTACCCCTCACCCGTGCCCCCCGCCAACACTTTAGTCGCTGTGCTTAGAGCAGTGGAATGTAGGAGAACAGAAGTCAGGCCCTTCCAGAAACAGACTCCTGTGCTTGGTGCAGGTGGAAGGTTGGCCGGCAAGACCCGAGAAGCAGCGGGCAGTGCTGCTGTGTGCCTGCCTGGCTCCCATGGCCCCTCTCCCCAGCGTAGGAGGTTACAGAAGGTGAAAGGCCACCCCTAGTTCCCACCCCTAGTCTCTCACACCCGTGTTCCAAGCCCGGCCTTGGCCCAGCATCCCCTGCCAGTGTCATCTGGTGGGGGTGGGTGTCACCATGTTAGAGGAATCGGGAGTGATCTGCCCCAGGAGCCTGGCTCTGGGTGTTCCTCTCTTGAGCAACTTCTCAGAAAAGGTGGTGGAGGGGTGGGGGTGCAGGGTTTGCCCGCTGAAGCACTGCGAGCCCTGCAGATTGCCCCAAGGAACGGAGTCTAAAAGGGAAGTTGAAGTGGTCTGAATAGATCTTTTCATAGATGTGCGATTTTTCTTTCAACTGCTGCTGGAGAATTTAGTTACAGAGTTAGCCAGTGTTCTGACCTTGACACACCAGCTGTCCATTGAAAAGCAGTCACTTATTTTGCTATTTGGAAGGAAGGTTTTTGTTTTTGTTTTTTGGGGGGTTTTTTTTGGTTTGTTTTGTTTTTGTATTTTTGGTATATATCTGAAAATGAAATGATCTCTTTTTCGAAGCTCCGTAAAACTTGAAGTTACAGGGGGGTAAGCCACCTCAGGCTCTGCGCATCGGAGGAAAGTCTGGGAAATATCTCAGACCTCTCGGCAAATCTCGGTTGTTTCGTGTTGTCTGTTCCCGTTGAAGAGCGGACACCCCAGATCTCTGTCCCCCTCAAACTGGGCGGTCAGGATTGTCTGCTAACCGATGGTCTTGCCTTCTCTCTAAGAGCTTTTGCTCTCTTCCTCTTTTTCATTTTAATGCTTGAGACGCAGCTCTGTTTGTTCAAGCATAGGACTCGCTTCAGAGTGCTCCTTAAAGGTCCTCCTCGTTGTAGCCGTGCTGTGTGTATGGCCCCAAGGGGCACAGGAGGCATGAGCAGACCCTGGAACTGGAACCTGGGTTTCATTCTGTTTCACATTTGGGTTGTAGATCCCGTGGGTCCAGGGAGGGACCTCTGATGTGTTCCGATGATGAGGGAGAGGTTGGGGACGAGTAAATCCTGAGCACTGCTGGTTGTGACCCAAAACCCAAAATAATAATTAATGATAAGGCTGGGCAGAGGGGATCAGAGACAC